TAAAACAATTTATTTTTGGTTTAATATTATAAATTTTATAAAGATAGTAATTAAGTATTCTGTTAGAATTTAATGATTATACTAATTATATTTTAGATTTTTTATATTTAAAATGAGATGTTTATCTTGTATTTAATTGTGTTTATCTGCAGTTAGTTACACGAATTTATATATGGGATGAAATCGGATAGGGATGAAATCGGATAGGGATGAACGAGTTTAAGAGTTTTTAAGAGTTTTAAGAGTTTTTAAGAGTTTTAAGAGTTTTTAAGAGTTTTAGCCAAATGTTTTATAAGATAGTATAGATATATATAAATTACTAAAAGAGTGTTGCATTTTATAATTTAACCTCAACAAATACTTTGGGTATTTCATTTGCTAATACTAGTAATAAACTAATAATACCATGTTTGTATTGCAATCAATGTTGGCAATACAACCTATTTTAAATGGTCAGTTATTTCGTACATGTTGTTGTACACACATAATCGATTTAGTTGTCCAAGATGGTTTACAATTAGTTCAACCGTTTGCAAATTTTCACAAAAGAAAAAAAAAGCTTCACGCTTTGTACATGAAATATTGTCACGAGGTACATTTTAATGTATGTTCTTATTCAAACGAAACTTGCCTTATTTTATGATTGAAAATTTATTAAAACAAAAACAATAAATACCTATATTTTATAGTAGATATCGGAGAATTAGATTATGGAGTACTTGATGGATTATACGATATTTTAGGCAATTTTAAAAATGCAACAATTCTTTTATCCGACGTTTATTATCCCAATGAGCTATTTACTCTAAATCAAATGTTTAATATGGCAAGTAAAAAACGTTTATTATGGCAAGTAAGATGGCATAGCGGTGACCTTTTTTTACATATGTTACGACGTTAAACTCGTATTTACATGTTACCAGAGTCGAAGTTTTAATTTCAAATATATATAATATCTTTTTCGTTTAAGTGAAGAAGATGATGATTATGCAAAAGAACAAATACACGTGTTTAATCATAATTTTCCAAAATTTCTTGATCGTTATAAAATTTTTAATGGTACAAGAATTGAACAACAGAACTTTCTAAATAAGGGTAAATCAGTAGCTATTTTTAGTTCTCGACGCCTTAGTAAACAATATTTAATGACCAACTTATTTAACAAGGTTTAAAATGTTATGCGTTTTTCAGAAAAATCTAAATTTGATACTGATTTAGGTAAACTAAATATGTATAAGCGTACTGATTTTATTGCCTATTCGAATGTTAATGATTCTGATAGTGTTGATCTTTTGGAATGGTGGAAACAAAGCAACCACAATTTTTGGTTTTGGCCGTCATGACTTGGAATATACTAGCAATTCAAGCTAGTACTGTAGCTTTGGAGTCTGCTTGTTCTCTTAGTCGTAGGATCAACTTGTTGCGGAGAACAAAACAAAGCCTAGAGTCCATGGATTGTTGCGTGTGCTTGGAGAATTATTGGATAACGTGGAAAGAACTCAAGACACAACATCATTAGGGGTGAAGCTTGAAGATGTTGAAGAAAACTTGAACGAAATCGATTACGCCCAAAATCTAACAATGCCACAAACTACCAATAGCACTTACTCAACGTTAGATGGCTGATGAAGACCTCGACCTTGATGACTGAAGACGAACCTTGAAATATTGAAGATGACATTGTTGAATGACGATAAAAAATGAGACAAAAACAAGTTTGAAGATTACATTGCTGGAAGTTTGAAGATTTTGAAAGTATGAAAACAAGTTTAAAGATTCGAAGATTGAAGACCAATTTTTATTACTTACGGATTACACATAATAATATTTAAAAATGTAAAACGAGTGCAAAAACATATTGAAATGAAGCTACAATAAAATGTCTTTTAAATGGTATTTGAATGACCCAACTATGGATTTTAAAGTTATTTATACTTGTATAATTCGTTCCAAATCAATTTATGAAAAAAATCTGGCTGGAACTCGGAAAACCCTGGCCTGAGACTAGTTCTAGAGACCGGGCTTCGAGCATGGAGAACGGGCAGGCTGATTTGGGGTGGGACCAGGCAACAGCGGAGTGCGGACCTAGGATTTTTGCCGAGCGGATTCACCATTAAGGTGGATCAAAAACCTACAAAGTCGTCTGATGTGTTTTTAGTAAAATTCCATCATTTTTGAGGGATATTTATAAAGTTTTTTTGGTTGATTTCGAGGGTCTTTTTTTGTTGATTTCAAAGGACTTTTTCGGTTTTCTTTTTGTTGATGTTCCTTGTATTCCCTACTATTCAAGAGCACCCCTCAAAGTCTAACATGTGCATCTTTCATATCCAAAAAACTATTTGTGAAAATTGATTGAGCGGATACACGGGATCCTGCTAGAACCTACATTGGTCCGCCCTTGGGACTAGAGATGGCCAAAAACCGGTCTCGGGCCGGGCCGGTCCCAATCAGTCCTAACATTTCTCATAACCGGTCCCGGCGTAACCGGTCCCGGTCCTGGTCCTGGTCTCAGTCCTGGTCGAAAATGATAAGACCGGTCAAGGTACTTCATAACCGGATATGGGCCGCCGGTCCCGGTCCCGGTCCCAACCGGTCCTTGCATTAAAAAATAAGATTTTTTTTTGATTTTTTTAATGATATATATTTTTAATACATTATAAAATTTACAATTGGGTCACTCAAATACACTTTAAAAATACGTTTTAATATAATTAAAATTATGTTTTCTTATAAAAATATATTATAAAATTATTTAAAAATACATTTATTTATAAAATTATTTGAATTTTTGGGCCGGGCCATAGTCGGTTCCATAAGCGGTCCCGGTCGGTCCTGGTCCCACGAAACTACCAAAACCTCAACCGGTCCCGGTTTTCGGTCCCATAACCGGTCCTTACCGGTCCCGGGCCGGGGCCGGTCCCTTGTCAGTCCCGGGCCGGTCCCTTGTCAATCCCGATCCCGGTCCTCTGATGGTCACGGGCCGGGCCGATTTGGCCATCTCTTAGTTGGGACCATGATCGAACCGATGAGACCGGTTTACGTATGAAATTCTTGGACCTGGATCAATTTGGGCCTGGCCCAGAGCGGTTTTGGTCATCTCTAAAAAACCAAACTAGTCCATGACCCGAAAATTAAATCGAGGTCGGAAGTCCGGCCCAATGATCAGATAACCCGGCTTCGAGTTCGACTGATTTCTTACAGACCGTCATTCCGTCAAGAACACATCTCCTGGTACCAATTCCTCTCTACGAATTGAAATCTCAACAAATTTCGATTCCAATCTTCACAGATTTCTGATTTCTTCCACTTCATCTGGTTTCTCTGCATCGCTGCTTACATACTTCGTAAGCTAAACATCAACCTTTTAACCATATTTCGGTTCTCGTCGAGAAGTTGCACTTGATTGAGATGATGTTGATGAGGGCTTAGGGTTTTCTTATGAAGAGGATGAGACGGTTTCATCAATTGAATAGATTAAGCGGCGTATATGTTACGCTTGATAACTGTATATCAACAGGTTAAGTTAGGATTTTGTTTATATTGGAGTTTCGTCATTCGTGGATCGGAGATTTTTCTTTTTGCGGTGGAATGGACAAACATGGATTTGTGGTAGTATTATTGTTCTTGTTTATGATTGGTTCGGGTCGGTCTAATGCCTTGAATTCTCGTAAATTAGTGACGACCCCGGATCCAAATGGCAGCTCTAATGCAAATCAGGTTCGTGATCTGTTGATGCTTTTGTTGTTCTTGCATATTAACTTTAATTACTTGATTAATTGTTCTGGGCACACCTTAAGGACAATTACGTAAGCTAACTACTTGCTAACTGTTTGATCGACGATCGGATATGGCTGATCCAAATGTTAAAGAGTCAATTCATCAACTGGGTGGGGTTGCTTAAGTCAGGTGACCTTGCAACAAGAGCTCATGTAATTGGTAACTGGGATTGGCGTAATGATGATACTTACGAAGAATAGTTGTGCAATTGACCAAAATGTATATATTCTCTAAAAAGTTCTCTTTGTAGCACTGCCAAATTCACATGATCTCGGTCTTCTTGTATGCAACTAATAAATTCAACATACAACATAAAAACCGAGGAAGCATGCTGTACATGAAACATAGATAAAACCTTGGTATGAAGACAAAACTTGTAACAAACTTGATTTGCTTAAAATGACATCTTGCATGCAATACCCAAGCGATTTAGATTGTTGGTATTTGGTCATCTTTTGGCAATCTCTGCTTGCTATAGGTAGAGTTCCTTTTTATACAAGGTGATGGCCTGAATTTTCTATATTTGGTTCTATATTTTCATTTTCTGGTTCGAAGTTTAATGGTCTTTGTTTCTTGGAAGATTTCTACTTTAAAAAGGAGTTACTTGCAAATTTGTTAAAGA